TGGGACTCTGAATTGCATTCCTTGCAGGTAGAACTTTGAGTCAAATGCAGCTGTTTTACTTGGGAATCAATCCCAACAACAAGGGAGGGAGGGAGAAAGGACAACAGAGAAGAGAGTGAAAAGTACTAAGGCAAAGGGAAGGGAGAGCTGAGGCTTTTATTCACTGATTGGCTCGGGGTGGCCCCAGGGTGTATTGGGCTCTTGCAGGCTGGGTAAAATCCCCTAGCTCTGAAACCGCAGGCAAAGAGGAGGAAGGTAGATGGTTCAGGGGGACAGATCTTCTGTACAGAGAGCATCTAATTGCAGGCTCAGGTGGGCTAGGGGGAGGGGCACGTAGCAGGCCTGTGCCCCACATCTACCCAGATGGGTTCCAGCTCCTTTGACTCTCTGTTCAAGAGCATCTACCCAGTTCTTGGGGATTCTGTATTTTCTGATCTCCTTCTACCTGTCACCCCAGTGTTCTGTTCAGCCCTACAACAAACACCTAGACATACTTCACCTTATTTTCAGCACCCTGTACAGTGTGAGGAGTTGACAACGTGGACCCTTTTTTTCCCTTCCTTCCATCTCAAAAAAGTCTCAGTGAGGAATGCACTTACCTCTTGAACACATACTGCATGTGATAAATACAGTCTTTTGGGAACAGAAATTCTGGGGACTTACAAAGGAAGGAGTAATTAATTAGCTGGGACTGTACCAATGAGACTACGGTTACCTCATGTGCCAGCCTTAATTACTTGTAGTTTTAACTTTCCCGGACCATTAATAGATGCCTGCCACTTTTTCTGTTATACTGAGCTTTCCTGTTGAATTGCTCTGCCTCAGGTAGGAGTGAAACTCGAATTCTTGTCTGGTTTGCCCCTTTCATTCTCGCAATGTGCCTTTATTGAGGGTCTCCTATGGGCCAGCACTGTTCTTGAGCCTGAGATACAGAAAGAGACAGCCAGTGATCCTGCTGTCACGCAGCATAGCCTTGAGGGTGTGGTAAATAAGCAACCAAATCAGTCAAATAGTGAGAAGAGCCACCAAGTAAGAAAACAGGGCATGTGATGTGTGGGAGGGGTGGAGACGGGGTACAGGTGCCAGATGCAAGCGGATCAAACCCTTGGGAGAGCTCTTCCGAGGCAATGACTTTGGAGCTCTGAGCTGTGTGCCAAATGCACCCCTGGGGAGATGCTTCCAGACAGATGGGCAGCCACTGTAAAGGGCCTGGGGCAGGACTCCTGGGGCTCAGGCAGAAGCTTGCCCTACCACTTCAGACCACTGAGAGTGAGAGGAGATAGAGAGGAGAGGAGATAGAGAGGAGAGGAGAGAGGAGAGGAGAGGAGAGGAGAGGAGAGGAGA